GGTGCATTTATTCCATCGACTTTTTCTTGCTAGTGTTTTGAATCTGCAGAATACATGAGTGTACAAAGACTCATTCAGTAACTCTCTCGGACTTCCTTGTGTAGTCATAGTATGGATTTCTTGGATAGAAAGTGTACTTCTCGACTCGATACCGCTTATCCTCCTTCTTTTTGCTGTCTCACTGAATAGATTTGCAGTACCTAAGAATGGCTGTGAGACTTGTCGATGGCTATACACAATCTCCATTCATGCGCCCACCGACCGCATTATGCTTGTTACAAGGGATTGATTCTGTCAAAAGCTGTTAATCTTGCTACATCTAGCAAAACGCGCAGATATATTCATAATGGTAAGCGAATTCAACGTTCAGGTTGGAAAGGTAAATCAATCGGAAAGGCTTATTGGGGTAGGAAGCTCCATGCCGACCAATCGACATAATGGTTGTCTCTTGCGATTCTATTTCTTGCAGAACTAACTTCAGGTATAAGAAAAGACACTGTTATAGCGTTCGCTGACACCGAACCGACGATGGACGTAGATAGATATTGATATAAGTCATCCTTTTAAACAGGATCAGTGGAGGATTACTGTACATCCTAGCATTCCTGTTTGACTGACAAAATCAACGTAGAACCACGCACACAGGAGCATCAGTTCAGGTTGCCGCCTTTCTGTGTAGTACACAAAGAACAGGTAGATAGAAAGAGTGTTATCATAGAAGATAAAGTATTGTAAGAGAATAAAGAATCTGAAAATAAAGGTTAGTACGAATGTTCAAGCTTTAGAAAATCTCAAGGAGTGAATATATTTGCGCCCTTGTAACCGATTTTCAGTCTTGTTACCACGAGTCCACAACTAATGGTTCATATCGTCCTGGGGACCCCAACTAGGCTGTCCCCACCTCCTTACATGACTCAGACCAACAGCAAGTGATTTCATCTACTGATAATAGATCTTGGTCTGGCCACTCTGCACCCTCTTCCAACCTAATCCAACTTCCCCTAGCATAGCACATCAAGGTAGGGGATAAATCAGCATGTCAAAGCCATCTTAGCCAAGTAAAGTTTACAACCTCATTAATTGACTTGCCTAGTACCTTTCGTCTGACCTAAACACTGGTCACGTGGAGGTTCCACCAAATGCGAACAATGCTACGAAGACACCTATGATCAAAACCATGTAGACTCTTCTACTTTCACCAACCATGTTTCACAGCCGTAAAGCAGAACAGAATGGACTGCTGCGTAGCATACTCGTCCTTTCTCGCCGGTCGGTGCCACACATGACCCAAGTTGGCAAATGCTAAGCCTCCCATTCTTTTCGGTGGTAATTTTACTCACCACAGTCTTCTTCTTGCCGGTATCTTTAATAGGCCTAAGTAGTTGCCATGTGCTACCCAACGCTGATTCCTTCTTCATTCCTCGCTCTTCGTCGTGGTCAGAGCCAGGTGGAATCAGTCTTCTCGCATCAGTCATTTTGGATGACATATCCATATCAGTAAGACAATCGCCAGGTTCAAAAGTACCTTTTTTGATTACTTACATAAAACATTGCGAATCAGGCTCAGTATTTCGGCTAATCATTTAGCCAGTTTGTGTGTGGGAGACTGACATATTAACAATATTGGGCGTAGTAGATTATCATTTTATGAATTTTCGGAAGTCCATATATATACTTTCATCACAAAGAATAGACATACTATTTTCGTACTGTAATAACGTTGTCGAAATATATGACGTTAATCAAAATTCTCTAGTCTTTGCAAGAACTGGCGCGGAATCATGCTTCTGTCCACCCCAAGCAAAATATTAAGCCGGATCATCTAGGATAGACTAAAATATGCTCTGGATCCAAAATTACGGCAGGAACAGGCTGGTTGGCTGGCCTCAGGAAGAACAAATCATGTGCGGATCAAATTGTAACGCTACACTACGCATCATCACAGAACAGAGGATAGAGTGGCAGTCAACTCAACTTCGACTTCATCGATTTTGAAAAGGTCTTCGACAGCATCGACTCAGAAGTAATTTGTCAGCTGCTTTAACATCACGGTTTTAGTGCCACAAATCTTTATCAAGCTCATTCAACATCTGTATGGTGCTACATGCTAAGTGATTCACAATGTAAAGCTCAGTAACGCCTTTGAAGTAAAGACAGGAGTAAGACAAGGCTCCCACCTACTATCATCACCGATGAAGTTTCTGATTATTGTGGACTGGACTGGATCATGCAAGAAACTGTGAGAAGAGTGGCATACGCTGTGTGGAGCGATGAAAAGACCATAGAGGAAGATTTGGATTTCGCCACCGATGATGATTTGTGTCTAATGTGTTGTCGCACAAACTCGAAGATCTACAGGTGAAAACTAACAAGTTGGCAGAAGAGGCAGGGCAGTGAAAACGGGACTTCCTTCAGGTGAACGTAGAGAAGGTGAATGCACAGGTGATTAAGATACCCAACCAACAACAGCATCAACAACAAGCACCAATCACCATGAACGGGAGAAACATAAAGGGAGTAGTCTCTTTCACCTACCTAGGTAGGGTAGCATCGTTCAACTGCAGGTGGCGGCACAGCACAGATGAGGATGTCAAAGGCAGGGTGGGAAAGACAACAAGACAGGCCTTCATTAATCTGAAATCACTATGAAGATCTGCTGCACTCAGCACAAAGAACGAGATCAGGATTTTCAACACCAGTGTCAAGTCAGTGCTTCTATATGGCTCAGAAACTTGGCGCGTCACGGAAAGCATTACCGACAAACTACAGACACTCATCAATATCCGCCGCCTACCCTCGATACTGAAGACCATATGGCCAGAATAATAAGAATAAGCAACAAGGGACTGTGACTGGCAACGAACCAACCAAGAACCTATCACCCAACAAATATTTAGAAGAAAGTGGAAATGGATTGGGCATACACTGAAAAGGCCGACTGGGGATATCACGCACCAGGCCAGGCCCTCAAGTGGAATCCAAAGGGGAAACGACGAGTTGGGCGTCCGAGGCGGGGTGATATGGAGGAGGTCGAGTGAGGAAGAAATGAAAGCTTATGGGCGGTGGTTCAAAAGACTGGAGACGTGCTACTGAAGCCGTATGTTTCACTAGGAATCCAAGGGACGATAATAATAATTCTCTACTCGAGTTCACGCAGTGGTTTCGGGGCTTATGAAGAGTCGTCATCTGAATTGGCGACAACTAGTAGCTTTCGCAGGAGATACGTGCTTATCCGTTTCTGTTTTGCTTCGTTATAGATATATTAAAGGACACAACCTCTGACCTTGCAGGGATTGACTTACTCCCTGGGGCGAATCTGGTTGAGTTGGAGTACGCAGACGACATATTTCTGTTAGGTGAGGGAGCTGCCAAAATATAGGATCTTCTGAACGGCTTGAGCAGAAATCTGAATATATTTGGCCAACATGCGTTTCGCACCAGTCAAACGTACGATGCTTCAGGACTATTCTGCAGCTATTTCCAGTGTGAGATATAGAGATCACCTGGATGGGGTCTTCGAAATGACAGGAATCAATAGTTGAGACCCTTGATGCAGCCGGTCACAAGGGTGTAGATGTATTCATTCTTTGATGTCTTCTAAAGCTTGCACATTTTCATTTATTTTAACTTCTAAATTCCTCCCCTTCCTATGCACCTTTTTCTACTTTGATGTCGCTTTTTCTCTACCCTTTCTTTCTTTGTATGACATTGTGAAATGTAGCAACCTAAACTGAGGTTCTGTGTTGATCTATCTAGTCTTAATTTCCCCATTTTTAAAGTAATGATTTACGACTTACTGCTACACACTGGTAACCGTTATCATATTATTTAGTTTCTATGATTATCACCATTGAAAACTATGTTAATGTGTTACAGTATCTTATACTGAGAACTGTATAGTATATAAAAATACTGTCTCGAATAAAGTTATTATTATGAGACTGGTGTATTCATCGCATTTCGGAGAACATCACTTACTCATATTGAATACTCAATGATCTAGTGATGGCAAGTGATTTACAAGGTCACAAACTCGATATAACTTACGAATCACTAACTTAAGTACCCCGGGCTAGAAATGGTTAGTAGCTGGTGAATATATGCATATTAGTACTATCAGTTCTTTATTGCTGCTGCGTTAGACACAAAATCAACATAGAACCTCGGATACAGGTGCATCGTTCAAGTTACCACACTTCACTGTAGTATACAAAGAGCGGGTGGATAGACAAGACTGATATCAAGGGGAGAGAGCGAATTTGAAAATGGTTAGTCTGAAGATTAAAGCTTTAGATGCCAAAGAATGGATACATCTGCGCCATTGTGACCGATTTTCAACCATTTCATTAAGTCTTCAAACACTAATTCCTATCGTCTCGGAGACCACAGCCAGGTAGTCTACATCTCCCTACATGACTCCGTAAAACCGATTCAGTCTATTGCATGATGCTATGCACCTGTTTCTCAGTTTGAAACGTCCATTTGTATATAGATTTCCACTTACGAATACAACTATATGATTACACGTAAATGAAAAGGCTGATTCCGTAGCTGATGCGCCATAAAATAGACTCATGGTGTTGCAGTGTGTAAGGGAGCTTGTAACGAATAATGGCTGGTATCTTGTTTTGTTTTCATGAGCATAAACTATGTACCTAGTTTAGGAAGTCATTGAATACAGGGAAGTATACATTTGCGAAATATTAAAAACAGTTGGCTGAAAACGCTTGGTTTTGAAACTCACAACTGATGACATTGGTGCAGATACAGATTTATAACTATAAGAATATAATGCTTGTCCGCCTGCCTTCCTTTTAATCCACCCTGCCTCTCATTCCTCCCGATACTAGTAAGCATGTTGCTGTGGCACGAATTTGCGATTACACTTTTACGTAACATACTACTTTCGTTTTCGATTTCATCCTCCTTAATTAGGCCTCATACTATCGGTATAGTTATACCTGTATACTTGAATACCTGCATATAATTTTATTTTTCAGAACTATCGTCCAACTGATGAAGATATAGTCTGGTCACGTAAACCCACAGAATCCATTATTGAAGAAGAAATAAACTTACACTCATTGTCACTTGTATTTATTGATGTTGGTGGTCAACAAAAGAACGTCGTAAGTGGTGTCAGTGTTTTGCTGATATGAATTCTGTTCTGTTCCTTATTGCTTCTAGTCATTATGATGAACATTATCAAGATAGGGTAACTAAAGAATTTCGAAATAAATTACGCGAAGCTATGATAATTTTTGAAGGGTTGATAAATCATGTCGCTTTTAGACGTGTTTCAATCATTATATTTTTCAATAAAACTGATATACTTAAAGAAAAACTAAATGCTCGAACATCAAACATTCGCGATGAATTTCCTAATTATCCTACGAAAATGGATCCATTCTATTTACAAGACGTTCAAACGTTTATGGTTGAAGCGTTTGCTTCATTAATCAGTCATAGCTTCCCACCAGACACACATCTAACAAATATACATGGTCGTTCAAGCCTTTCACATACATCATTCAATAGTACAACCAAATGTTCTTCTCTTCACAGACAAAATTCTGCACCTGTATCAGCAAATTTGAGGTATTCAGCGCCAATACGAAAACGAATGATCTATCGTCACTTCACAACTGCTGTGGATAGGCGTAATATTGAGACAGTATTCAACGCTATGCAAGATACAGTTTTACATAATAACTTACGCCGTATCATGATGAGTTAAATATGTTGCATATACATGCAGTGTTACAAAATGTGTACCTCCAATTTCACACCCAATCACAACAACTAAATCGTTTTATTGAGACTTTGTTTCTGGTGCTATTGACGCTTTTCGATATCACTCAACTGAAGTGGGACGAAAATTATGTACCTAAGCTATAAATCTTTGCCATCCTAACAATTTTTGTGCGTGCCAAAAATAAAGTTTACAAACCGAAATTGTCACACGTATAAACAAAAGCAAACATGCCTTTTACCATTAATTTATATTTTTCTTCGTTGTCTTTCATGATGCACAAATTTATAAGTTCTTTTCAGTTCCTATTTGGTCTATATGCATTTGTATACTCTTAAGTCCATAAGACATCACTGACGGTGAAACAACACGATCATTGCGATTGATTCTAGATGCCTTGTACATACATTATATGCATAAATCCTCCTTATGTTATACATATATCGGTGTTTGGAAGTGTACACTTTTTCTGCCTTGTAATAAGGGATTAATGTTGTTGACGCTGTCAAATCACTATTCTTTGAAGGTTTTTCCAACATTTTTCTTGCTTTCTCTTTTTGGATGTTTTTCCAAGAAACCTGTGAGACTATCTTGCGAACCAATTCGTGATTGATCCACAGACATATTGGTGTGATTGGTAAAAATCCATCCAGTAACTTCGGAGCACACAATCTAAGCTGCACAAAGTAATCATTTCCTAAAATGTGGATGTATGTTTCGATTATCTATTATGAAAAATGGGATAATATTACGATAGTTCTTCCTATTTTTAATAATATATAGCTAAATCCGTTCCCGTCACTTCGTTTAGGCAATATTTACTCTGGACAACATATGTATTGATTGTATGAACTGTCAATAATCAACATTACTCAAATGAAACCGACTGGAATTACAAATGAGAGTAAACGATTTGGTAAGCGTAAGCGCTGAAGTGAAACACGACTGGTGATTAACTAGAAGAGCTGATGAACAATGTTACCAGTTATGAAAAATCGACTAAGCACAAGATACATGTTCTGGTTTTTTCTGCTAGTTATATAAACACGCTATCCCCTTAATTAATGAGGTCCCTTAAGACTAAGCAGTACGGAAGGCTTCAAGCTGTGCAGATCGTACGATGTGATAATAAAAATACGCAGTTCTTCGAGTAGACATTGGATCGGATTGACGTAGGAAAGGCAAAGGAAGATAGAGAATAATTTTTTGTGCCGTCGTTACAGAACTACTACAGGGTATTTAAACAAAGTAGCAGAAGTCGTAGTTTATCAGTGGATATTTGAAATAGTGATGCCAGGTTTACTTTGGGACTGTTAAGAGATAAAAAGTATCACATGAAAGTGATGCTTTGAACCGTTTACGCGAAATGGTTTTCAGGGGTATCGATCGATTCTGAATCTCACATTATCTGGTGTGTAGCAATCTTTGAGCAGTATGAATTAATTAGTCATTCTATAGGAGGAACACAGAAATGAGTATGGGATGAAGTTCAAGTCGATATCCTGATACTCCGGATGTTACGCGACAATCAAGCGACACCGTCGACCTAAGAATATGGTTACAAACCTTTCACTGAGAGCATCTGTTTTCACTCAGCATGCAAATGACTCATGTTTAAACACATCAGTCGTGATGATAATCTAATTCTTCTATGGAAATATACTGTTTATGCTAGTTTAATTATTCTGAAGTCTGACAGGTTTCAAACGAGTAAAAGGATCCTTGGTCAGCACGCAAATAACGTTAAACATTGGACTTCTTTCGTTTTTAACCTAGTGGATCTTCGCGAAAGGATAACTTGTATGTCACAAAGCCTGGACTAGTCCACGATAGTGTACTGTAACGAAAGAACGAGACGCACTCAGCCACCTTTTGCACATTCGTGCAGTAGGCAATGGGTCGCATCTATTGAGTGAAGGCTGGTGATACTACCTGGTTTCCCAAACCTCGGTAGGTGGAGTGGGGCTCGGACCTGTGAACCAATGGTTGTAGATCATCTCGCCAAACCGCTGAGCCACACTTCATGACCCAAGAGAAAGGCGCTGGGTCGAATAGGCACTGCTGAGTCCCATACTAGTGCATTGTATTTTGGGTTTTATATAGTGGTAAATAACAATAAAGAAATACCTAAGCAACCAACTTTACGGGGGTAAGGAGCCTCTAGTGTGCGACAACATAATAACTGAACGCGTTATAAAAGTTTATTATAAATTCTAAACCTTTACTGCAAAATCAGTCAGGTCTGGTAGCTCTTCAATGCCGTCTTTCGTAACAATACGGACCATGTATCTATCAAGATTGATCACTAAACGCTTTTGAACTTCCTGAATACACGAACGTAGTAATGTAACGGCTTCCTCTACAGTCATGTCGGGGCGGTGCATGCGATCCAAGATACTCAGAGTAACCAGAGAACCATAACCATGAACAGCGAAAGGAACCTGTAGAGTGAAAATGATTTATAGGCTGATTACTAAAGAGCAAAAATTTCGGATTCGTTACGAACACTGAAATAAATATGCAGTATACACCAAAACAAGACGAAAATTTATTTACGACCTACTTCTTATGAAAGTAGCAGAAGAGAGATGTAACTCAACAATTCAACTGATTTATGTACTATGCAGTGAGTCACATCAGTTACGTGGTAGAAAATGATACTGCTTTGATCAGCGAACCTCGGATGTACAGCTGGGTTTGAACCCATGACATGATGGCTGGAATTTGAGTGCTGGCACTAACTAGTCGCAACTTCTTGCGGAGCGACAAAAAAACGATGAAAAGGCAGTAGCAGAAAGCCATTTCAAATGGAATTTTAAGATTTGCGATAAAATATTTGTTAACAATACTTTGTCCACCACTTGCACTGACAAATTTCAGGTTTTACCGCACTTAAACTCAAAAGGTATGGGAAACTCAGATAAGCTATCAAAAAGCTCATGAACTGTCAATGAGACCTCCCATCGAAGCGCTTGGTAGCAACACTTGGAAAGTGCTTAGGGTGTAGTGTAACTCTATTCAGGTGACGCATCATTCGCGAAAGTGAGACAGACATTTTTAGGTATTTATCGGTGTCAGCTGATGCGTTAAGTTCAAAACAAGCTGTAAACTGCCGACTTACAATCAAAGATAAGTAATATCAGGACCGCAAAGGGAAGTATGTTGTGCGAAAGTTTATGATACTACTCAGTTACCCGAGACGAATACGAGCTGGGTCCGAACCAAGGGCCCACTGACTGCAATCAAAGTGCCTAAATCAATGGGTTACACCTATCAAACGATAGGACTGGGTATGAACCATCCTTGGTTCACACCTGAAGTTTCTATTATGGCCAGTAATATAAGCACCTGGTAAAATCTCAAGATTGCTCTAGACTTTGTTCAGACTGTATCTTTTTACTTAATTTAGGATTTTCAATCACATTCTCAAATGACTGGAGCAGGTAGGAACACACTTCAGTTTGTCTACGTAGTAAGTTCTTCATTTTTTTCTGATGCAGTCACACGTTCTTATTTCTGCTTTTTTTGATAACCAATATTTCACTCACACGCTCACTGACATATAGACTGTTCTGAGTAAAACATGTAGCTAAAAATTGTTTCAAAGCTGACCCTTTTTATGTAAAATATCTTAACGTAACGTGTATCACAGTTAACTTTTGAACTTTAACATAGACCAGGCATAAGGCAACCACTTCGGAAAGTTCCTGTGCTGATGTATTCAAAGACTTGCATGTAAAGTGTTAGGGATAATTACTTTAACTATTCGCTAGAAGTGTACGTTCTACATCAAGCATACAACTCAGGGTCAGAGTTCGTATAAGGACGTAGGAGTAGCAGCCATAAAGAGCCAATACGAGGAAATCGAAACAATGATACAAATGTTTTTGAAAAGACTTGGCAACCGAATCAATGATACGAGGATTATGATAAGAACTTCAGTGCAACATACTTTCACTAGGGATGCCAAGTAGTCCAAAAAGTAGAGTTCAGGTCCAGTTTGTGAGTCGTATCCAGCGATCAGCATATTTACAAAGTATGGTGACTGGCCTAGTAAGAGAAATCTTTAATCCCATATCTTACTCGACTCCGCAGTGATTCTGCCATATTGTTTCTGGTGAAGTTTGCAGCCGCGCTTGGTGTTAATTCGTATCCTTTATTGAAGGTAATGAAGATACCAGATTAGTTACCATTTCTTATTTCATACAGCTGCATGTTTTGCTGGATATATTCTGAAAACTGAGACGTGTCTCCCGATTCACCACAAACGGCGGCAAGCACACGGTTACTGAACTTATACATTTTGCGCTCATCATGTTTAATAGTAAGGATGGAGTGTGCACAGCGCATATCTGCTGCTAGTAACACGAAATCATTCATCTTAATTCCAATAACACACTCCATTGTGCACTATGCTGAATCAGAAACGTCGAACAGAGCGCGGCAATTGTGACCTTGAACGGTAGTCGTTTATTTCAAATGGTTCTTGAGGGAAAAGAAGAAACAGGTACAAAGTGTAAGGACAGTTTATGGGCGTGGATCTCGGTCGTCATAAGTTTATGCATCTGCTTCGTAAAACGAAACACTTAGTTTCAGACTTCAAAACTGATGACATTTCTCAAACAACTCTCAAACACCTGCAAATGTAAGAAAGACAGCAAACGAAGTAGCTAATAAAAGTAATAATATCCAACCTTGAAGACGCTTTACTGGCTTGTGTTAGCCAGTTGATTCCTTCGTGTTCACTTCCAGGTCTTGCCGAGTGTTCACAGGTCATTGGTGGATTCTGATTAAGCAGGTTCAATCACTTGCCCCGGTATTTTTGATAAACTCAACAAATGACCTTGTATTCGTCAAATTTGTGGGTGTGTTTAATTTGCCCTGAGGCTGTGATGGGTAGAGGTTTCTAAAATATTGTGCTGCCAGACAATTGCTAGAGCTGGTCCCGAAAAGAAGATAGGATAACTAAAAAGGATAAAAGAAAGGAAATAAGAGAAAAAGAAAAGTGGGGAAAGCAGATGATGGAAAAAGGAGAAGCCTAGGTAGATCGACGAAGACAGGGAGGAAAGTGGTGATACGGTAGCCTTAATACAGTGTAACCGTATAAAATTAGAGGGGGGGAGAAGCAGAGGGGATACAGCAAAAATATTAAAAACAGGTAATCATTTCAGTGATACGTTCATAATTCTCACTGTGACATAAAAACAAGATATCCAGCGGGGATGACTCTTATCTACGAATTTATCATCAAGCCGTACATTCGTGTATATATATATATATACATACATATATATATATATATATATATATATATATGTATATATACGAAATGCCTTTCTTAACGCGCCAAGTCTCTGAACCATACAGAAGCACTCATTTGACGTTGGTGTTGAAAATCCGTATCTTGTTCCGCATGCTGAGTGCAGAAGATCTCCACACTGGTTTCAGGCTAATAAACACCTGTCTTGCTTTTCCGATTCTGGCTGGCTTTGACGTCCTCGTCTGTGCCGCCTGTAGTTGAAACAGTGCTGCCTAGATAGGTGAAAAAGGCTACTTCCTTTAGGTTTATCCCGTTGATGGTGATTGGAGTTTGTTGCTGTTGGTGGTGGTGGTGCTGTTGTTGGTTGGGTATCTTCATCACCTCTGTCTTCTCTATATTCACCTGAAGTCCCGTCTTCGCTACCCTACCTCTTCTGAAAACTTGTTAGTTTTCGCCTGTAGATCTTCAAGTTTGTGCAACATCCCATACAAGTCATCGGCGAAATCCAGATCTTCTAGGTTATTTTCCGCAGTCCAGCGTATCCCCCTCTTCTCGCTCCCCACTGTTTGTTGCATGATCCAGTTGACCACGATCAGGAATATCATGAGGGATAGTAGGCAACCTTGTTTCACTCCTGTCTTCACTTCAAAAGCATCACTGAACTTCCCATTGTGAATTGCTTGGCATGTGGCATCTTCATATAGTTGTTGAATGAGGCGGAGAAGGGTTGGCGGTACTCCGTAGTATTGAAGCAGTTTCCAAATTACTTCTCAGTCGACGCTGTCGAAGGCCTTTTCAAAGTCGATGAAGTTGAGGTAGAGTTGAGTTGACTGCCATTCTATACTCTGTTCTATGATGATGCGAAACGTAGCGTTGCAGTTTGGACAGCACATAATTTGTACTTCCTGAATGCAGCCAGCCTGTTCCTGTCGTAGTTTTGAATCCAGTGAATCCTTTAGTCTCTCCAGGATGATGCGGCTTAATATTTTGCTTGCTTTGGGTGGACAGGAGAGTGATTCCGCGCCAGTTCTTGCAGGCACTCAGGTCTCCTTTCTTCGGCAGTTTGACAAGGTAGCCCTTCTTCCAATCGGTTAGCAGGTACCTTCTCTTCCTTCCACACCTTCTGCAATAGTGGTGTGGTGTGAGCATGTCCACTGTTGTCTCTGCATCTGTTTTCAGTGCTTCTGGCGGGATTCCATCTGGTCCTGCTGCTTTCCTGCATTTCAGTAGCATTATGGCGTTCAGGACTTCCATTTTTGTCGGAGGATTTATGTTAACTTGTAGTTCTGTGGCTGCGCCGCTGGTGGTATTTCTGGATGAAGTGCAGGTGGTGGTCGATTAGAGAGCCTTTTGAAGTGGTCAGTCCATCGTTTCCTTTGTTTCTCTTCTTTCGTAATTAAATTTCCGTCATCATCTTTCATTGGTTTCGTCTGCGTCGATCTCTTTCCAGACAATAAGTAACCTGGTTATTTGATACAATGTTGTCAGGTCTCTGTCTCTCCTACCTGCAGCCTGTTCTGCTTCACTTGCCAGTGTTTCGCAGAAGTGTCTTTTGTCTCTGCGTGCACTCTTCTTCACTTCTTTATCCAGTGTAGTGTTTTATACATTGTACTCAGTTCCTCCTCTTGTTGTGCATCCTTGCACTGGTTTATCTTCTGCTTCACCATCCTCCTCTCCTCTATCAGCTTCCAGGTATCCGTCGAGATCCATTCCTTGTCTTCTTTCTTCTTCCTTCCTAATGCTGTTGTGCTGGTTTCTTTCCACATAGCTTTCGAAGACTTCCAGTGCTCTTCCACACAGGTTTCTTCAGGGATGTTCCTCGATATCTCCCATTTTGTCTTGATGGCTGCCGTGAAGATCTCCTTTTTCTAATTTCATCCTTCAGTTTCCGAGTGTTGTACTTGAATTGAGGTCTATCACCACCTTCCTTGAAGGCTTTCAACTTGGTTTGAATGGTTCCTTGCACTAGACAGTGATTGTTCTGAACCTACATCTGCTCCTCTTCTTGCCCTTGTGTCAAGTAGACTGCGTCTCCATTTTCTTGAGATTGAGATAAAGTCGATCTGATTTTTAGTATGTCCATCTGGTGAAATCCATGTCGCTTTGAGGATATCTTTGTGCCTGAACACACTGCCTCCAATTACCAAATTGTTGAATGCACAGAATTCTGCAAACAATTCTCCATTCTCATTCATTTCATCTAGCGCCTCTCGACCCATGGTTAGTTCTCTTCCCGTGTTGTCCCCTCCCAGTTTGGCATTCATGTCACCCCACCCATTAGAATTTCGATATCGCCAACTGAGGTGGTGTCTTGTCCAGTGTTGATTGCAGTTGTCTGTAGAATTCCTCCTTTTTCTCTTGCTCTGCATTATTTGTAGGTGCGTAGCGTAGCACTGTATGATTGTGACTTTCCTTCCTTCCTTCTGAGTTGAACATTGCTGTTATGATCCTGGAGGAGATTGGTTCCCACTGCATGAGAGCCCTCGATGCTGTTGGGGACGTCATGATAGCCACTCCCTCAGTGGGCTCGTGGTCGTCGTCTGTGTGACAATTTCGGAGTAGATTATTGATTCTCCAGTTGACAGTTTGCAGAGTCCACTCCCATTCCATCTGCTTTCGCGAATTCCAAGCACTTCGATGTTATACCTTCTCATCTCTTTTGCAATCTGGGCTGCCTTACTGGGTTCAAACATGGTGCGGACATTCCATGCCCCCACGTCTACTTTCGCTTCTATCGAGAGAAGACACATCGGCCAATTGGCCTCCCCAAGGCTTTCACCAACTGGCGTCATTTCGCCTCTCCGATTCCAGCGGGGAATGAGTTTGTTTTTATTTTTTATATTTTGTTTGTGCTTTGAAGTTTCTTTAGCGGTTAGATTTGTTTTACGGGGTAGGGTTGCTAGCCCTATTCCCAACCTTCCCTGTTTACCCGGGCTTAGGACCGGCTAGTAACTAGTAAACTAGTTAACCAGGCGAGGTTAAGCAGAGGGGATACAGCAAAAATATTAAAAACAGGTAATCATTTCAGTGATACGTTCATAATTCTCACTGTGACATAAAAACAAGATATCCAGCGGGGATGACTCTTATCTACGAATTTATCATCAAGCCATACATTCGTATATATATATATATATACATATATATATATATATGCGATACTCAAGGAATATAATCCGTGGGGAAGATGTGACTTAAATAATTGGGGGTTGAAACAGCATTAATGGTGGTGATAACTATAATATTGCTAGTTGATTTTGGTGATAGCACAATAACTGAAGATGCAAGATGCCTAATACGGGGGGGGGGGCATGAATAGGTCGAATTCATGATAGTTGCGGTGATACAACTGAATATGTATGGAGTCAGCTCTGTTGGAATGACATGAAATTTGTTGCTTGACTTGGCTCAGCCGGCTTCCTAACCGGGTGAGCACCAGTTATATATAGCTGCTTTGTCGTCCGAACTTTTTAGAGCTTTCGATGAATGGGGCTGAAATGACCACAGCTGGTAATCCTTTCCAGTGACCTCAAACTCAAAGCCAGAAAGAGTGTGGACGCACATGGATCTTAGGTCTTCGATGGGTGGTTACACCTGGGTTTCCACGAGGACTGCCGCAAGGACCGTCCGCCGGAGTCTAACTGCTCGGTTGACTTGGTTACTTGGTATGTTGTAGACCGGTGTTAAAACACTATGAAACCAAGACAGTGAAGGTCTAGACCAGTCGGCCTATCCACACGCGGTTCTGCCACAAGCATGCAGTTTTGGTACTGTGTTAAAACGTAATTTCATATTGGGTCGGTTCATCTGATTCAACATTTACTGGTACAGTGTAATCTACTAGATAACGTCTAGAGTATAATTTATTATTCACATTCCTGCCAAGATACTGACACAACTTCCCATCTCAGTCTTTCCATAGATTCAATCCTTCTTCTTCATAAGTGAATGGTAAACAAATATTTTATTCTCAGGTCATGAATTTAACATGAGAGAAGCAGATTTCCTGGCATCATCAAAGTGACAATGGCGGAGAAATGTACAACGCTTGACCGCTCCTGAATAGTAAACAGGGGAGGATGTTAAACTCTGCCATAACATCAAATGTTTCTGCGAATTATGAAAAGAACAAGGAAATGCCACT